AGAGGTAATATTTAATAGAGAATTCAATTCTTTTGGCGATAAAATGTGTGTACATTATTTTATGAATAGACTATATGCTTACGCCCTGGTAATTTAACACGTAAGTCAAAAAACAGAGAAGTAATATTTAATAGAGGATTTTATTGACGATAAAATGTGTGTACATTATTTTATGAATAAACTATATACTTACTTCCTGGTAATTTAACATGTAAGTGAAAGAACAGAGAGGTAATATTATTGAGGATTCTATACTTACGCCCTGGTAATTTGATACGTAAGTGAAAAACAGAAAAATAATATTTAATAGAGAAAAAGTTTCACAGTAATACATTCGTTAGATAGAATGCTAAGCGTCTCTGAATACTTCTTTTTTTTTTATCTTTTTTTTTTTTTTTAATTTGCTTAATAAATATAACATATGTGTGTCGTGATATAAAAAAAAAAGCATTTTAAAGTAATATAATTTATTCTAAAATAAATAAATAAATTTTTTTATTCGATAAAATACTTGCTCAAATTTGCTATTGTATTTTTTTTAAATAGCTACTTCTGAAACACCAAGAGATCGTAAAAACTGTCTTGCTAAAGAATCTTATACACGCCTAAAGTCGTTACTTACAGCTGAACAACTTGAACATCGTCATGTCTGGCAACGTGAAATCTATAAGCTTCGTACTGAAGCTGATTCAAGTGAACAAGCTGATTATCGATGTAATACTCAATGCGCAGCTTATATGCATCGTATTCAACAAAAACGTGCTTCTAATGCTGCCTGTATGCAGATGTATAATACTACTACCGTTGGTTGTCACGAGTTGGGACCAATGGATGTGGAATGTTCTCATTGTCATGCCCTACACTGGATAGAAGAAAAGGTGGCTGGGGTGTATTTAATCCAGTGTTTAGTATCTGTTGTGTGAATGGAAAGGTACAACTGCCAATTATTAATCAACCACCTAAACCTTTACTTTCATTACTCACTGGAGAAGATAGTAGATCCTGTAATTTTCGAAAAGATATTCGTAAGTACAATTCGATATTAGCATTCACATCGATGGGTGCTAAGATTGATAAAAATGTAGTTGGTACACCAGGTGTCTACTCTTTTCGAATCCATGATAATATGTACCATCTGATAGGTTCACTTTTACCTGATAGTAACTTAATGCCCGCATTCTCACAAATTTATTTTTATGATGCTGAAGAACAACTAGCTTATAGACAATACATAATGCCTAATTTAGATTTGTCGATTCTTGAACAACTTAATCTATGTTACATAATATTAACCTATATGTTCACATCTTTTGACAAATTGCATATAGTTTACATGAAAATTCTTTTCAAACTTTAAATTTTGTCATTATTAAAGCACACAATGAACATCAATACGTACCTCCCTCTGTATTAGAGATTGCTGTTCTTATGGTAGATGATGGTCAAGAAATTGAACCATCAAATTGAGATATTGTACTCTACAAACAAAACGGTGGTTTACAACAAATTTCTCATTACATTATGTGTTGCTTTTTTCATATGGTGATTCTGGATAGTACCCTTATATTCTTACAAATAATACTGTTAATCATGTAAATAATAACCAAAATATTATGCATAAACATGATAATACAAATTTGTCTTATGTTACAATGATGCAATACTATGCTTATCATCTGCAAATACGATGGCAGTGTCCATTAGAATCATTTGCATTGCATAGAAGTGGACATTTATTTCAGCAATATATTGTTGATGCATATGCTTGCATTGAGCAAAACCATCTTAACTACTTGAAGCATAATCAAAAAAAAAATTCGTGCTGAATTGTATAGTGGGCTACAAGATATACTTTCTATTCATAATGAATTGCCTCAATTTGAATCTCAAGTTGGTCATCGAGTTGTACTTCCATCCAGTTTTGTTGATGGTCCTCGCCATATGCAGCAATTGTATCAAGATGCAATGACTATTGTTAGACAAATAGGTAAACCAGATTTATTTATTACAATGACATGTAATCCAAACTGGCCAGAAATTCAATTAGCTTTATTGTTAGTCCAAACTTCACAAGATTGACCAGACCTTTGTGCTCGCATATTTTGATTAAAATTACGAGCTCTTCTTAAAGATATTCTTGAAGATAGCATTTTTGGTAAAACTCTTGCATATATATATATTATTGAATCACAAAAACGTGGCCTTTTGCATGCACATATATTGATTATATTATCACCTGATTACAAACCACATACACCAGAAGATTTTAATCGCATAGTATCAGCTGAAATTCCAGATCCTCTTATTTATCCATATGAATATGAAACTATAATACAGTGTATGATACATGGTCCATGTGGTATATATAATGTAAATGCTCCTTGTATGCGAAATAGTAGATGTTCAAAAGGTTATCCAAAACCTTTTCAATCAGTTACTAATCAGAGTAATGATGGTTATCCCATATATCGACGATGTGATAATAATTGTAAAGTTAAAGTTAGAGGTGTTGATCTTGATAATTGATGGGTTGTACCTCACAATTTTTATATTTGTAAAAAATTTAACTGCCATATTAATATTGAAATTTGCACTTCAATATATACAATTAAATACTTATTTAAATATGTTTATAAAAGTCATGATTGTGCTACAATTGCTCTTAATAATAATAATATAAATGAAATTTAACAGTATATTGATACATGTTATGTATCTGCATATAAAACAATTTGGCATATTATGCATTATAAAATGCATAATGAAGCTCCTGATGTTATACACTTAGTTGTGCATCTTCCTGGTCAACATTTTGTTACTTTTTGTGATAATGACTCTTTAAACATTATTGCTCAATGAGCTTAAAATGAAAAAACTATGTTAACAGCATGGTTTGAAGCAAACTGTAATCAAGATAATTTTCAAATAGCAAATAATCTAACTTATATTCAATTTTCTAGAAAATTTGTTTTTGATAAATATACAAAAAAATGGAGACAATGTATTAGTAGATATGCTATTGGTTATATGTACTTTGTACATTCAGATGCTGGAGAACATTATTATTTACATTTATTACTTAATATTGTATGTGGTGCATGTTCCTTTGAATATTTACGTACTGTAAATAATATACTTTATACTACATTTAAAGATGCATGTCAAGCATTAGGTCTTTTGCAAAATGATTTAGAATGGGATCGATGCCTTGAAGAAGCATCTGAAATATGTTCAGATAACCAATTATAGCATTTATTTGCAACAATTTAATAAATTGTTATTCTACACATCCTGAACAACTTTGGGCTAAGTATAAATATAATTTAAGTGATAATTTTTATATAGCTTACATCATAAATTACATAATCCAAATCTTCAGTTAATACAGCAAACTATTGAAAACTATGCTTTGCATATGTTGGATAATATTCTTATATAGCAAGGCAAAACATTAAAAGATTTTCCAAAAATGCCTATTCCTAATATTGTACGAGAGCTTTTTAATCATCTATTAAATGATGAGCTAAACTATGATCAATCTGTACTTCATAATTTTCTTGAAATTAATCTTCCATGTCTTAATTAAGATCAACAAAATATTTATACTGAAGTTATAGAAGCAATTAAACAAAATATTTCAAAATGTATATTTGTTGATGGACCAGCTGGTTCTGGTAAAACATTTCTCTATAAAATTATATTGGCATTAATTCAATCAAAAAATAAAATTGCTCTTGCTATTGCTTCTTCTGGAATTGTCTCATTACTGCTTGATGGTGGCAGAACAGCACACTCTCACTTTAAAATTCCTATTGAATTAAATGAAGATTCTACTTGCAATATATCTTTAAAAACAGACCTTGCTAATCTTATAAAGCAAACTATTCTAATTGTTTGAAATGAAGCTCCTATATTACACCACCATGGATTTGAAGCTGTTGATAAAACATTTTGTGATATAATGCGTACTGTTAACCTACAATTAGAACATGTACTATTTGGTGAAAAAATTATAGTTTTTGGGGGTGACTTTAGACAAATTCTTCCTGTTATTTCAAAAGGTAGACGAGAAGATATTGTTAATACTACATTATATTGATCTTATTTGTTGCCCTATATAAAAGTTAGAAAGTTAACTATTAATATGCGATTATATAGTCAAACTAATACAACAACTCAATTAAAATTTGCAAATTGGTTACTTCAAATTGGTGAAGGCTGTGTCCCTAAAATTCAACCTAATAGTAATTTTATACACTTGCCTTCTGATATTATTCTTCAATCTAAATCATTTCAAAGTTTGATAAATTTTGTATATCCTAACTTATAATTCCATATTCATGATCCTGTATACTTTACAAAAGGAGGAATTCTTGCACTACTTAATGATAATGTTAATATGCTTAATGCAAAAATTCTTACTCAATATCCTGAAAAAGAAAAAGTTTACTTTAGTGTGGATACTTTAGATAAAAATTCTGAAACATATAATATTATTCAAGAAAGTCTATACTCTACAGAATTTTTAAATTCAATAAAGTTTAGTGGATTACTACCACATAAGTTAACACTTAAAATTGGTACATCTATAATATTATTACGCAATATTAATGTAGCCAATGGTCTATGAAATGAGACTCGCTTAATTTGTAAAACACTTCAAGACTATGTAATTGAAGCTAAGCCAATTGATGGCCCTTTAGTTGGTACACATGTCTTTTTACCCTGTATTACTTTATCTTCTAAAAATATGTCCTTTCTATTTGTTCTTCAACGCTGACAATTTCCATGCCAACTCGCATTTGCTATATCTATTAATAGATCACAAGAACAAACAATGAACTGTGTTGGATTATACCTTCCAACCCTGTATTTTTTCATAGTTAATTGTATATTGCATATTCAAGATAACTTCTTGCCAAAATTTACAAATATATCTAGGTACACCTGAATTTGATAGATGCACAAAAAATATTGTTCATCCTGAAATACAGTTGGCACTGTCTAAATGCATACTGTTTAAATGCATATACTGTCTAACTGCATACAATTTTTGTCTACCAACTTGGTTCCTATTGATAAATGCATAATTTCTTTAATTGCATAATACATAAAAAAAAAGGCAATATGCATTTAAAAAATTATAATTAACCAATCAAAAATGCCAGTATAACATTAAATAATTTTACTTTATGACTTTAAATTGCACTTGATATATAAATATATAGTCAGACCTCTCTAAGTGCATACCCTTGGAACCACACTTTATAATGTGTATATAAAGAATTATAAGAAAAAATGCATTTATAGAGATCAAGTATATATTTGAACTGGCACTTAAGTGTGTATTTAGAGAGGATGTGCACTTATAAAGAGTGTACTTATAGAGGTCTGACTATATATATTTATCAAAAGAAGCTAACTTTATTATCAGCTAAGTCTATTTAATTTTCTGATTCTGAACTTTAGCCTAAAAGTAATTTTTAAACTCACTTGTTTTCAAAATTAGTAAATTCCAAAACCTTAAATATTTAAAAAAAAAAATTTAATTATAAACAAAAGTTTGAAATTTATATGTAAAAATTTTATTTTTATGTTATTGTTTATAGCAATTTCTGAAATTCCTATTGGTTGTTATTTATGTTACACAAATGATGTTGATCACAAGATTTTGTCTAAATGCATATACTGTCTAAATGTATTAAAAGGTCTTTTACGAATAGTATGCATTTAGACAGTACCAACTGTAGTTCAATTAATATATATATATAAGCTAGGTGCAATAGAAAAGGGGAAATTGACAAATTTTCAAAAATTTTTTTTTTACATAAATCAATTCAGAATAAGATTAGAACCATTTTTCACTTAAAACACAAAAGCAGTTGTATTAATAAAATTTTGTAATATAGCTCTTTAAAGTTTGTATTTTCTTATAACTTATTATAAAATTTATAACATAAAAATTGATCTTCTGAAGATCTTTTGTTTTGTTGATTTCCCTCTTTTCTATTGCACCTAGCCCATATGTTAATTAAAATTGAAAATTTCTATTTGTACACATAGTGTATATATATGAGTATAAAAAAACCAACTAATATTTCAAAATTTTGATTAGGAAACACCTTTTGGCTTCTAATAAAAAAATTTTCTTGTGAAATTTTGGTATAAACTACTCTCACCCAATCTCAAACTTATCCTTACCCTAACTATAAGCAAGGGTTTAATTTTCTTTCGTAAAAATTGGTTTGATTGGCATGTTACACAAGGCTGTAAATCAATAAATTAGTATCTGTGTATAAACACTACGTGTAAATTAATAAATTTTCATTAAAATTATTATATATAAAATTATTATATTAAATTAATTAACTTTTTATTTATTATTATTTTAATTCATTATATTTATATAATTACTAAATTCTTATATTCACTATTTATATAGGTGCTTACTTTATTACATGATTTCACAAATATTAATTTTTGTGAAGTTATTTGATAAGCTAAATAATACCATATTAAATAATATTCAAATAGTACTATTCAACAAAAATTTTTATTTTTTATAGATGATTTAACAATTATAACAAACTTTAAATAGTTTTTCAAATTAATAATCTAATAATATAATTTTATAATATTAAATTTATTTTATTGTATTATAGGTTAATAATATTTATTTTAGTATTTCATCCTTTGTTAAATTAGTAATTTTCTTTATAATACACTCTATATCTATTCTTAAAAGATACAATTATAAAAAACATTAAATTAGAATTCTTAAATTTATAAATTTATAAATTTTATAATTTATTATATAAATGATATAAATCATATTTTTTAAACTTTTTTGTAATCAAAATATATAATTATCTATTTACACTAGGAATTGCCACTTGAATCTTTTTAATTTAAACTCTATAATATTATATAATTTATTTGTATTGATAAATATAATTTCTCTTTTTTATATCTTATTTAGAGTTGAACTACATTTTAGAGTTGTAATTCAATTTGTGGCTTGAGATATAACTTAGAGCTGCAGCTTAAGCTGTAGCTTCAATAATTTATTTATAAAAAAATAATATTAAGCAGTATTTTCAAAAACGTTTATTGTTAATTTATTAAAAAGCTCATATATATATAATTCTATTTCATAAGCTAATTACAAACATTAAAGAGTATTATATTTCTAGAAATAACTACTAAAGCCATAGTTTGAGCTATAGTTTGAACCAGGGATGGCATGTTGTAATATTGAACATTTGGACAATTTGGATATTTGGATATAGTAACTTTTTTTATTGGATATTAAAAAAAATTAATTTAATATTGGCCTAAATTAAACTTAATTCAGGCCAATATTCACCAATACAAAATATCTCTAATTTTATTCATATGTACATATTCACACTATTGAATCAACTTAAATTCTATTTTACTTACAACATGTTTATATATGTACTTGGTATTGCCCTATTGAAATATGATTAATCAAATAGAATGTTAAAAACTGTAAAATAATTTGTATTTCAAAAGGAATTGACAACAGTTGATTTTAATTTTAATTTTAAAATAAAGGCATATTATAAAAGAAAGCATACCAAATTAAATAAATTATCCAAAGTCATCACTTTGAATTAGAAACATTTATTAATAAATTATCATTGTAAATTAAAGAGTAAAAAAAGTTTATAAGAAATAAAAATAAAATTAGTAATCATTATTATTGTAGTTAAAAGCAATAAAGCTTTTGTCAGCATATTATTAAAATGCCCAATAAAATTATTGGACAATTGGACATATATCCAATAATCTTGCAATTTATTTGGCCATTTAAACTATGTCCAATTGTCCAATTAAATTTATTTGGACATTGTCCAATGCCAACCCTGGTTTGAACCATAATTTGAGTGATAACTTGAACTATAACTTGAACTATGGCTTAAGCTATAACTTTAATCATCATAGCTCAAGCCAGAGCCACAGCTTTTAAAAGCCATACCAAGCTACTCAAGCCATTAACAACTCTAATCTTATCAATTCGATTATACTAATAAATAAATCAATCAAACAATCATTGTTAATCGCTACAATTTTGATCAATAACCTATTCTTGATTTAGCAATTTTTGACTATTATTGACATTATTATTTTCTTTTTTTTTAACTATACAGCATATTAAGATATACAATCAGCATAATCTTCAGTAAAACAATTGATCAACATAAATAAACATAAATCTAATATACCCTAAAGGAAAAGATAATTTAAGGCTGTGCATATGTGGTTTAAACTATTGGCTTAATCAGAATAAAAAAAAATTACTGTATCGATTAACAATATATCATTCTATAAAAATTTGGTATTACTATATCTTTTTATTATAAAAGCCTCTTTTATATTACATAATTAATATTTACTTGCGAATTATACATTTTTTTTTAAAAAAAACTCAGTTTGCACTTTTGATGATTCCAGTATATTGTCTCTCTTAACCCTGTATAGTATATTTAAATATGCCTCATACTGTATCAATTATAAATAAATATAAAATTATAAATAATAGAAATGAATTAATATAAATATATATGAGTATTGCCAAAAGAAAACCTGACAATTTATATATAGTCTATATATATAGTCTATATTTAAATTGTTGGATTTTCTTTTGGTGACAAACATATACAAAAATATATAAATACCTTAAATTTTTTCATTTTTTAGTTTATTAAAAACTTAAATACATCATTACAATCTAAATATATATATACAATGCCCTGTTATTTAGACACAATTATAAAAATTAAACATATTAACCAAAATGAAACAAAATATGCAAAATTGATTTCAGTATGAGCCATTGGAATGTATTCTATAGGCCTTGAAGATAATGAAATTGAAGTTATCTTATATGTACTATGAAATCGTGATGAACGGGACTCTGATTCACAAGCTATATTTAGAAGAGATGAATACTACTCGGTTGGTGGAAGAATCATACTACATAAATATGCTGAATCTATTTGACCCAAGGTAATAATAATATAACAATAAAGTTTAAATCGTTATATATAAATTAAATTATACGCTATATAACCTAAGATAATAATAATAATAATAATAAAATAATAATAATGTGATAAAATAACACTTAGATGTCAGTCACCACCCTACTCACTTAACTATTACCAGGGCTTCAGATTCTAACAAATGTCCACTGAAAGTATCTTTGATAGGAACCGCCCAAGGAAATCTAACCACAATTAGAAACACTGATGACTCTATAATCGAAATGCTCATAACCGACTATATTACCCATGATCATGAATATACAATCTATGTAGTTTTTCTGCACACTAACCCACGATTTGAATATCTTAGACTAAATACTCAACTAAAAGATTTGACAATTTTTGTTGTTGGCCAGATGGAAGTCATTAACAATAAATTCTATGTCAATACAAAAGATATTAACTACTTTGATATTAAAAAAAAATTTTAGAAACAGATTACCACCAAATCCAATCAACCTCAACTAATCCGACAAGATCCAGGCTTCTACAAATCCACCAAAATTTTACTAAAAACTTGAAAGAAACACCGTCATCCAAACACCACCATTAACTACTTCAAGTGATATTAAAAGCAAAACTTCTGTAAAACGCAAAAGATCCAAAGAAATTGACCAACTAATTGATGTAGATTTTATTAATGCCGATAATAATTACAAATCTGAAACAAATAAAGCTAATTCCGTCAAACCCAATCAAAAAGAACCTGAAAACCCAATAAAAAATCTAAATCACTTAAAAATTCTAAACATATACCAATAAAAAAACGTCTAATTAGAACTACCTGTAGTCCTAAAAAGTCATGTCATACAACCATAAAAGATGCTGAATCAGATAAAGAATAGAAATATTAACTATAATAGCTATCTTCATATATTACTTTCTTTCTGTTTACCTACTATATCTACTCATGTATTGTAAGTAGCAAATTTATTTTAAATTATTAAATTAAATTAGGGAAAATACCGATTATAAATAGTTCTCTTGGCCCGGTCTAAATAAATTCCAACTTAAATATATTCTATTTCTATTCACAAAAAGTATGCTATAACAAAAGTTTATAAGTAGATAAATATACTATAGAAAGCGTATTATTACCTTTTTTTTCCATATTATGATATTACCTGTGCAAAATTTTTTAAATAAATAATTTATTTTGTAAATCCACAACACGTGCTTATTTTATAAACTGTAAAAGTTTGGTATCTAAAATTAATATCTAAACTTTTATTTATTTATTTATTTATAAATTTTTAAATTACTATTATCCTAAATTCTAAAACTTTCAAAAGTATATGATTCGCATAAAATTACAAATAAAAATATGTTAACAGGAGGGTGGCGCGTAAGTGCCACCCATTACACTAGTTCTTTTAGAAATTTTCCTTGCATAAAACATTCATGTGCTTCCTTTCTCAAATTTTCAAGAATAATATTGTCCTGTAAGTAAAGTGGAGATGATGCCATAATTTTATTTGAATTTGCAAGTGTATTTATATTCTCTTGACAACTTGAGAGAATTTTGCTATTTCGAGCTGATGTTTTAATAGGATGGTGTTGACTCAAAGTTTTATTATAAATAAGTTGTTTTAGAGTATTGAGAATTAAGCTTGTTTCTGGGTGATTAGCTGGATCGTTATCCCAACATTGTTTGTAAAGTTCAATATATTGAGATGGTGTATCTTTTATAGATTCTTCTCTATTTACTAGGAAGATGTGAATAGTGAGTAATTCTCTTGTTTTAAAAGATTGGAATAGAGGTCTTCCACTTGAAATTTCCTAAAGAATTACTCCAAAGCTATAGACATCAGATTTTTTGTCACATTTATATTTGTGATAAATAAAGTACTTAGGCTTCATATATGCCAGTATCCCATGAGCAATTGAGTTTGAAGTTATTAACATCTCATTTATTTGTTTTGATAGTCCAAAATCAGCAATCTTTGGTTGTCTTTGATAAATTAAAATATTCTTGAAATGCTGTGGTATATATATTAGAACATAGTTGTAACTAAAATTATATAATAAATATAAAAACAATATACTTACAAGATTCTCTATGAATAATATTATTATTGTGTAAGAACAAAAGACCAAGCACTATTTCTTTAGAAATACATAATTTATTAGCCCAATGTAATTTTGTAAAATTTGCATTGAGGTAAATACTTGTAATTTAATAGATATCTGTAGATACAGTGTATTCCACTGGATAATAGTAAAATTATGTGGCCTTTGGCCACATGGTTTACTATTATTCTGTGGAATGCATTGTGTCCACAGATATTCATTAAATAACTAGTTTATTTCATAGGTACAACGTAACAACCTGTGCGTTACATCATCAATTAAACTTTTTTTAAACATTTTTTTTCAATTAAAGTTTTTTCTAGTACAGTAGTAATAAAAAAAAGAAAAAAAAAAGCCGCATTGCTGCTTCTACCGAAGAGATTCTAGAACCTTGCCTGTAGAGAACACTAACAAAAGTGTATTTCAAGGTGGTGACATTTGGTCAAAGTGAAATATCGAAACTGTGACAGAATTGAAAGACTTTCTGCAGGTTTTTTTATTAGGATGAAATGCTTAAACAAAAAAATATAGATGCTTTTGTATTACTTTTTTTTTTGTTAAATAGTACAAGTAGCAAAGGTTTAAAACATTCATATTTTTGAATTAATACTTGCTACTATCTTTTTTTTTTAATGCTAAATATTAGTAAAGGTATTTAGTTTAAGAAAGCTTGAATAGGCGTTAAACAAATTAACACAATAATGATGAAAATAACTGAATTCGCAGATATTAATTGGCATAAGTAAATTAAAGATTTTATTGTATATGTTGAATTCTTTATTAATGACTTTATTTTAATGCCAAAAAAAAACACACAAAATTAACCATTTTATAAAACTTCGCTGGGTGATCACATAAAACATCGAATGAACCATCTCCAATGCCACCAAAAAGACTATTACTACAATATTAATGATTATTTTGAATTTTTAAATAATGCATTTTTTTTATTTGAATAAATAATACAGTTAAAAAAGAATTTTGGTAAAAAATTTAAAGTATTTAAAAAAAAAAGTTTTCTATCAAATAACAATTTTAATAGCCTGACCTATATAAGGTTTTTTCAGTACATAACAATTTAAAAAATCTGAATTTGAATAAAGTCCTTTTTAGCACATGACAATTTATAGTAAGGTTATTCAACACTGGTCTATATGAAAATATGTGATTTTCATATAGACTGATGAAAATAGCCTTGTTAAAAAAGCATGGGTTGTTATATAGTACCCATGGAATAATATCTATAATACTGAAATATCATAACAGGTATTATAAAATTCTAGAATTCTATAGTGCTTTAATATTGTAATAATGTGATACTATAATGTTATACAGTACACCCTCCCAAAACTGATCATGTCAAAACTGATAACTTGTTATAACTAATAAAAAATTGATTCACCATGTCCATTTCATAATTAAAACCCATTAACTTGCTATTTCTAATAAACAATATCTAAAAGACCAGATATTTATAAGATATTGGTTTTGACAGGTAATATAAATCAATTTGATTGGCTCAGTTCAGGTTTTGTGAAACAGATTATATATATAAGAATATAATCTAGCCAATTATATTTATTTGTAATCATGTAACAACAGGCCATTAGCATTTAAAATAAATTTTTAAATCTGATAACTTTTTAAAACCAATATAAAAGTTGTCCACCATATGTATCAGATTTGAGAGGGTGTATTGTAATACTATAGGTATTATTATAGCATATATGTTCGACGCAGTTTTGCCAACCCAAGAATGAATGACTATATTTGAATCAGATAACGCTGTTAGCACTTAACACAAGTTTTCATTCTAGCTATAATGAAACCAGGTATTTTAACTTTTGATCTAGCACAAATTTTAACTTAATACAGTACTAGACAATATAAGACATCTACATTATACATATAAAGCGCTAATTTTTGATGCTTATATAATAAATTCTGGTTGGCTAATTTTAATTTTTAATTGGTTAATTAAGCATATATATTTTCTTTTTTTAATATTAAATGCCAATTTTTTAAATAAATATAAAGTTTAACTCTTAATAACTCCTTTAAAACAAAAAATAATAGAAAATCTCTTGTCAAAAATGTAGTTTAGCTAAATATCAATTTGTTGAAAGTCTTTTGATTTAACAAGAATCTATTTTTCTTATATTTATAATATAAAATAAAATCTTTAATTTATTAAAAAACTTAAATTATCCTATTTTAAAAATATATATTGCTAAATAAAGTTTTTAACTTGTATAATAAACAAATTATTTTAGTTAGCAAATTTTATAGCTACATTCGATTAAATTTTAAAATCAAATAGAGATTTTTTGAATATTCTGTAATATTAGTTTATTATAAGTAGAAATGGGAAAAATGCACATTTTATAATAACATGTATATGTTATATAAAATGTGCATGATATCACATGATATAATTTTTTGATTTATATTTTCTCTCCGGAAAATATCATATATTTGCAAAAAATTTTCCTTGACCCTTCATATATTTATGTTCATTCATTTTCTTTTCAGAATTTTTCAAAACTTCTGCATTCCTATTTCTTAATTTTGTCTGGCATTTATACACCTTGACCTAAATTAAATATAATTTAATTTTCCTATATAAAATTTAGATGAGATAAAATGTGCATGATTGAGAAATCATGCGCATGCATGAAACCTATCTCTAATTATAAGACTAAAACAATATATTAAGAGTAGGTTATAATTAATCTTTACTACATATATAACTGTATCAGAAACATTTTTAGTGCAGTACTGTACAGATTTGCAAAAAGATCAAATAATAAACAGATAAAAATCTTTACAAAACTTCAAACCTGATAACTATAAACAAATTCTAAAAAATTTTGCTAATATTTGCAAAAATCTGTATTTTTGCAGATTTACAATTATTTAATTTTCTCATATATATCAGGAAGTTGTTTTTTTATAAAACTTATATAGCTTTACAAGTTTATATAAAAATTATATAAAAATTATATAAATATTAAATATAATAATTTTTATATATTATTCTATATAATTTTTATATAAAATTTATTTATATTTATATAAATATAATTTTATAAAAAAAAATTATATAGTTTTTATATATTTATAAAATTATATATTATATAATTATATAATCTTTATATA